TCCACACCACGAATTACTTTTCCAGAAAGCGCTCTTGATGGAAGTAAATCGCTGCTCGGGGATGATGAAAAGAGATTTGCAGCACAGCTTGAGGTGAATTGAGAATTTTCGTTCGCCTTTGAAAGAGATCAGTTATCAGTAGCTATTCTACGTTTAGATTTCTAAAGTAATGAGCCACAATCAGCTGATTTCGGAAGCCAGAAAAGCAAAAGAAGAAATCGAGAAGCTTTTCAACCAGACTGAAAAACAACTTCAAAGGGTTACGTCAGGTGTGTGCCACCCGCAACTGCCACCTTTTTCTGTTGTTATAAATATCATATTGAATATCAAAAAATATTTTAAAAATCTGAAAAAAAGTCTTAAATACCAGCAATCTGAATTTTCTCTCTTTTTTCCATTTTCAAAGAAAAAAGATCCTATGTAAAGTAGAAAATGCGATTCGAACTTATAATGTAGGAATTTGAAATCTATGAAAAAAAGTCTTAAATACCAGCAATCTGAATTTTCTCTCTTTTTTCCATTTTCAAAGAAAAAAGATCCTATGTAAAGTAGAAAATGCGATTCGAACTTATAATGTAGGAATTTGAAATCTATGTTACCCATTTACAGAAAGCAGTTTTTCGACGGCTGAACTCATCTGGGCTCAGTACACAAAAGGCGACCGCTACTCGAAGTATCTCTCGTTTTCTGCACTGATCTCCACAACGGCCACGCAGAGAATAGCCAAGTAAGTCAGATTTTCTTGGAGTAAGAGCGGAGGCTGGCAGGAACAGATTTGATTTTCGTTGTTTACTGTTAAATTAGTTGTTAGCTAACTTTTTTGGTGCTCTCCATGCTCATTTGCTCCTATCCCAGAAAAATTAGGTGAGCTGTAGCTACGCAACCCACCCTTGAACGCTTCAGACACCCTCACACGCATCGAAAGGGTTTGTGATTATGCTTAACAGTACTGAAGTGTGGCCTCCGCCCTTTAGGAGTAGCTGAGAATATCCAGATCTGGAATGAGAGTATAGCATTTTGAGAATAAAAATCTTCTTGTTCATTCACCAAAGATGCCTGGTTGATACAGTAATTCAAAATAGCTTCCATTACAGTATCTCGTCCTCCCCACAAAATCTTCTTGTTCATTCACCAAAGATGCCTGGTTGATACAGTAATTCAAAATAGCTTCCATTACAGTATCTCGTCCTCCCCACGTCTTCTCGATGGTCTTCCACTCGTATCCCTGGAAGGATCGGCTATTCAAAGTACCTGTCCGATCAGTCGGATAGAGGAATGCATTGCTGGAAAATATCGGTAACTT